CGCTTAGCCACCTGAACTGAAAGTTGGATGAAACTCTCCTTTGAATAAGGCTCATCACAGGACTTAATGTAGCCTGCTTCCTCAGCCAGTGCCTGCTAAATACCAGCTTGGACCCCAACAAAGAGAAACAAGGTCCAAACTCTCCTTCTGGCTAATGATTTGATTGTCAAACCAAGATGTCTCAAACCTATAATTCTAGTTTTAATTGACTGCATTCTGTTTGAAAGAGCAATAGCTTCAGGGGAGGAGAGTAAGAACTTTTATTAACCACAGAGTGTGTATTGGGCCCTGGACATGTCAGGTCATTTGGTCCTTAAAACAGCCCTGGGAAGGGCAGTAGTGGCTCTGCTTCACAGAGTAGCACCCAGGGACCCCAGGAAACCAGTGGTCACCCAACGCCATATAACTAGCAAAGAGTGGAATCTAGTTTGAACTCAGATGGGCTTGACTCCTTTTTTTCTCTAAGAGGCATGTTTTTCTTTGCCAACCTCAACAACGAGAGAAAAAGAGGCAGAAAGATAATCTAAAAAATGGAGTGACTGCTCACTTAAGAGGCTGTAACAAGATTGGAGCTTGGTGGCTATTGCTAGAGTCTCCAGGGCAGGGTCCTTAGGAAGATTCCTAAATTGCTGACCGTGACTCATTCAGTCCTTTCTGTTGCCTGATTTTACCATCTGATCACAAGACTGTGCTGTAACTTTGGAGTGAAAAAACAAAGCTAAGAATCCATACAGTATTCTCAACTCCCATCTAATGCTGTGATTCCTGAGATGCCTACTTTATACATAATGGGGGAAATGCATGCAAGGAAGTTACATGCAGTGACTGAACAACACTCCAAATACAGCTTCCCACTTGTGCCAGGATAGACTCATTCATGTGGACTTAGAGGAGCCTCAGGGACAGGTTTTTGGAAAATCAGGCCTTGGGGTTCTGGAAGCTTAGTACTCTTACTACAGAGCACTCCTGTTCCTGTCTCATCCCCCGGAAAGAGTCCTGGGGTTGGGGTTGCTGGAGTCGGGGTCAAATGAGGGGTCAGTAGTAACAAAGGTGATGACACCCCCTCATTCCTCCACCTAGAGAACCTTCTTAGCCTTTCCCTAGACATGTTCTCTAGTAAAGAACTCCTTCCACTTCAGCCTTGCTGGGATCCACAGATTTCAAAATGAAGATTTTTGTTCTGCCTTGTCTAAACACTGAGACAGTTTTTGTTGCAGACTGGGAGCTGGCAGCAGCTCTCCAGAGCCAGGATATGTAGAATTCCTTAAAAACATGCAGCATGGAGCAGCATGAAAACCTTAGAAATGCTTTTGAGAATCAACTTAATCTTCCAGCTCTGAAATCAGCTACGTGATGATGGGGGCTTTTGTTTTCTTTGCAGAGCCTAGGCTCCCTTTGAGAAAACTGACAAATTTGTAAATGTGGTAAAGATAACACTTTTCAATAAGCTGTTATTTCTCCCTCTTTATTATTTGGGTCAAAGAATTTTTTGAATTTCATTCCAATTCTTTTCACTTTGTGTATCAAGAAAAACAGTCATAGCAAGAAAGACTTGACCATTATATTCTTTTCATATCACAGATTCTCTTCTCAAAGTTTTTTTCTGGGAGGAATGAAAGTAATTTTATTTGTTGTTGGGTTATGGTCAAGTACTTGCAAATGACATGTTTTTTTTCCATGAAATAGGCACTTTCTGATCTACCTGATTACAATACTTAAAACGTTATACATCCAGTGGCGTCTCATCTAAAATGATTTGTTGTTACTGCTAAAGATGATTTTACAAATATCCCTCCAAGTGACAACAGAAAGCAGACATGAACTGATTTTTTAAATTAGAATTTTGTTAGCCTTATGTTTTGGATTAAGAAAGAGATGTGGTCAGTTAATGGTTTTATTCCATTTTTATTGCAAACAAGAATGAAAAAGAGAAAAAATATTTTCACACTGGATTCCCCTTGAATGAATTCAAGCAAAGTTCATTACTAGTGGTTTTGCATCTGGCAAAGGTGTAAAATTGTGCCCATAGAGGTGTTGATTTGCTCCAATTCAGCAGGGCCCAGCCCTTTGGTGGGCAGTGCTGGCATGGGAGAAGTGGCCTTCTCTGCACATCTGTTAAGTCCCAGGGGCTTCTAGGGTTTGGTCAGAAGCTCATGCTAAAAACGATCTTTTTCCCCACCAGATTCTAGGTAGAAAAGGTATGTCATCCATTCATCTGTTGATGGACACTTAGGTTGCTTCCATCTCCTGGCTATTGTAAATAGAGCTGCAGTGAACATTTTGGTACATGACTCTTCTTGAATTATGGTTTTCTCAGGGTATATGCCCAGTAGTGGGATTGCTAGGTCGTATGGTAGTTCTATTTTTAGTTTTTTAAGGAACCTCGGGAATAAAGACGCAGACCTACTAGAGAATGGACTTGAGGATACGGGGAGGGGGAAGGGTAAGCTGGGACGAAGTGAGAGAGTGGCATGGACATATATACACTACCAAACGTAAAATAGATAGCTAGGGGAAGCAGCCACATAGCACAGGGAGATCAGCTCCGTGCTTTGTGACCACCTAGAGGGGTGGGATAGGGAGGGTGGGAGGGAGACGCAAGAGGGAAGAGATATGGGAACATATGTATAACTGATTCACTTTGTTATACAGCAGAAACTAACACACCATTGTAAAGCAATTATATGCCAATAAAGATGTTAAAAAAAAAAAAGGTATGTCATCCACTATAAATGATGACTGGATCTTTTCAGACTCTGACAATATGAGCCACATCTTAGGACTATGCAGTTCTTCCTGACATTTCCTTCCATGAACAATTGCACACAATTCCACACACTTGTGTTTGCCATTCAGTGTTCTTCACACACATGGGACCTGCAACTCTGCTTTTGACAGGCTCCTCATCTCCCCAGGCCCCCGTTTCTTTCTCTGCAAATGAGGGAAATGGCCTATAACTCCTTCCAACCTCTTCTTCCATCTCTAGAATATTCAATACATTAAGAGGACAGGGTTAAGAATCATTGCTTCGAAAGAAACTCTAAGATTTCTATCATCTGAGGGCAAAGGTGGGCCTGCAAGTCATTTATTGTCTCAAAAAATTAAGACCTTTCTTTAAACATGGACCTACCATATGATCCAGCCATTCTACTCCTAGCTACTTACTCAAGAGAAATAAAAACATGTCTGCACAAAGACTTGTACGGGAAGCTTTATTCCCCCAAACCACAAACTGGAAACAACCCAAATGCCCATTAATAGATGAAAGAATAAACAAAATGTTGTACATCCATACAATGCATTACTATTGAGCAATCAAAAGGAACAAAATGATACATGCAATAACATAAATGAATCTTATTATGCTGAATGAAGGAAGCCAGACACAAGACAACATACTGTACATTCTGGTTATGTAAAATTCTGGACAATGCAAACTAATCTATTACAGTTACACAAGGCAGGTCAGTGCTTGCCTGTGGTCTGCAAAAGGTACAAGGGACCTTTTTGTGGAGGGAAATATTCTGTATTTTGATTGTGACGGTAGTTTCACAGGTGGATGAAACTGTCAAAGCTCATCAAAATGTGCACTTTAAATGAATACAACTTATGTAAATTGTTTCTCAAAGTTATCAGGGGAAATTTTTTTGTAAGCTCTTGACCAATCTGAGGCTTGAAGAAAATACATAATGGGCAGCGGATAAAGTTTTGAGGGCCCATGATATCAAAAAAGGATTGATAAACTCAAAATATTCTTAAACATTCTGGAAAGCCCTTTAGTTTCTGGGCAGCATGTATGAATTTGTAGGAAAGTAATTTATCTTCTGATTTCAGGTAAAGCCCAGAACAAAGAACTGCCTTGGAAGCTAAGCAAGGTATGTTGCTCCACAAACAAAGGCAGGTACATGGTGGTGGGCAGCTTCCTGTCTTTGCAGCAAGTCAGGCTCCTTCATACAGATTTCTTCCTTCACTCTGCCCGAGGTGGTATTTACAGGTCTACTCAGGGGTGGATTCCATTCTACTTTATGAATGTCTATTCAGAAAAACTAGAAAGCTGTAGGGCATATTCTTCCTTTATAGGCCACATGGGGCGACTGATTTTAGTTGGCACCACTTGTAGAATCACAGGATGTGAGATTTGGAAGGAGCCTCAGAGATTCTCCTGTCCAACTTCCCAAAGGAGGAAGCTGAGGCCCAGAGAGGGTAAGTGAGTGGCCTAAGAACACAAAGCACCAGCAGGACTAAAAATCACTGCTCTCCGGGAGTCTCTCCACTTTAATACACTGGCTCATCACTTATTGAAAAAGTACAACCCAAAATCTCTAGCCAGATCCTAAATCCAGGCTTAATTAGCCTGCTGCACCTTTATTTTTTAAAATTTTTAAAATGTTTTATTTTTTTTAATGAAAGCTGTAAAATGGTTGGATTCTAGCTGAGAGAAAAGCAGCAGATTCCCAGTTCCGGCCCTACTGCGAGGAAACGTAAGGATCAAACCTCAGCCCGGGCATGAATGTGAGGCATTTATGATTCTTGTAGAACTTGGCAGCAATTACAAAAGCCTGCTCCATGGTGGAAATGACCATGTTAAATTTCCATTCTTATTTGCATTTGCAAAAATAGAATAAAATTATTTCTTGGGTAGAAGCATCCTCTGTGACTGGGAAGTGCTTCTTGTTCGTTGCTGCCCCTTTTACTCTTCATATATTTCCCCTTGATGGCTGTTGAAATAGCAGATATTTCATACAGAGAGAACATTCATCACAGCAGATTCTTGATTGAAGTTGAGTCAGATTCTGCCGTGAAGCAGCCACTGCCAGGGAGTAAATTAGGCCTCTCTGGAAGCTCCACCACCACCCAGTCTAATATGGCTTTAATTTCCAAACTACAGTTTGGCAGGGCCAGGTCTCAGCACTGTCCCCAACCTCCTCCTCTTGCATCTGACCCCTCGGCGCCTGGGTTTCACGGGGCTGAGACGTCCCCTTGGGGGTCGTGATATTGCTTCCCAGGGGTATCTGGATGGCACCTGCCAGCTGGTGCTGGTGCAGGGGAGATAAAGATGATAGCTGTGTAATTTAGCAGTGCCCTTGGCCCTTTGGTTGGCCGGTGTGCTGGTAACATGTTTTGCTCTTCCCGCAGACTCCCCAGAAGGTCTGTTGTAGAGTTTGGTAGAATGACTAGGATGGTAACTTCTGGAAGAAGACTTCAGATTTTTGGAATCACCCCAAGCGGAAGAAGCAACATCGGCGGCCCCTGCTTCTGTGAGGGGGCTCCTGGATCACCAAGCGACGGCACGTCCTGGAGGTGTCGGCAGTGCTGGGGCCCACCCTTCCCCGTGGTGGTGTTTTCTGGGTCACTCTGTCTTGTCCTGAGGGCCATGCTGTGCCGTGGCTGCGGGACACACCTTTCGTGTGTGGGCACCGTGGATGGGCGGGTCTAACCCTGTACCCAGTGCGTCCCTCCACTGAGCACCGTGAGGGACAGACTCCCTAACACTGCCGACACCTGTGCATCCACAAGGGCATTTGTCAGCGCTGAATTCCTTGTTGAGCAAGTGGATAATAAAGGTACTGACCTTAATGGTCTAATCAAACCAGTGTAGTAGTGACACAAGAAATCATTGAAAAACTGTGGGCGAGGAGCTGAAACTTTCTCTAGAAAGTTCATTAATGACCAGAATAGATTACATAATCTACATACAATCATGGAGAATTGAGATGGGTACTTGAAAAAAAAAACCCAACAAAAAAAACATTCTCCCCACCTCCTCTAATCCTTTGAATTTAAATCATTCCCATCATTGAGGTCAAAGGTGTTTGGGCCACCTGAAGTACAGAATTAATTTTCTTCTCCATTTTCTATTGATTTATTAATTATAAATGTAGTCTTTCGTTTACCTAAGAGACAGGAATACAATTGCTATTTCAAGTCACTTTTACTTTCTATTTACTATTTTTTTTTTATCAGCACACAAGCATGTTCTAGTGTCTCTTACCTTTAAAAAACTAATCCCCCCTTAATCCTTAGAGCTATCAGTTGATTCCTCCCCTCTTCACTGAAAAACTTCTGAAAGAATTGTGGGCTCATGAATTATCTCCATTTCTTATCTTTCCATTTGTTCTTCAGACTTCTCCACTCTGGCTTCTGCCCATACTGCTCTGCCAAAAGTGCTCTCTCCAAGGTAACCAGTAACCTCTATGTTGTCCATTCCGGGGAGCATTTCTGAGTCCTCATCTTCCTGGAATGCTCCTTGGAGGACCATCTGAGAATCCTTCTACTGCACACGGAAGAAAAACCAACTCACATTGTGGCAAACAAAGTGAGTTTATCGTATGGTTTCTTTAATAATTTTCTCCCCTCTACTTCTCCCTTCTTTCTGGCATTAATCAGATATTAGATTAGTTGAATTGATCCTCTATCTTTTCTATCTCCTTAGCTGTTTATTCAGCTCTAAGAGTTCCTTGCCTATCTTTTAAACCTTGTATTGCATGTGTAATGTCAGCTGTCAGTTTTTGTTTCTCAGTGTCCTCCCTTGTTCTCAGATGATTCCTTTTTATTGCAACACATTCTTGTTTCATGGATGTAGTATTTTGCCTTACTTTTCTGGCAAAATTAATTTTAATTTTTCCTACTACTTCCTGAATTGTCTGTTTTCTGAGTTACCTTGTTTGTTTTGGTCTCTATTGTGTGGGGACTTTCCGAAAATGTCTGTGACTCAAAGTAGTCTGTTCATATTCTACAGGGAGACCCTGGGAGCTCTAGGGGACCAAGAGGGTGGAGCTGGTGGACTGGTGGCTTTGGGGGTAGGTTGATTGGGTGGGAGGCCAGCTTTGTCATTTGGTAAATCTCCATCTCTCCTCACACCCAAATATTACCATGTGCTGGTCTTTTGTCTGGGGTGATTTAGTTTCTCCGGAAAGGGATCTTCCAGACTCCCGGGAGGGGGGGTGGGGACAGATGCCTCGCTGAGAGCCATGTCAGAACCAAGCAGGAGGAGGCCAGGGGCCTTGTGATTCTGAAGGTAGATTGTAACTCGATCCTACAGTGTTCAGCATTACCTCTGCCCTCCTCTTGGACTGCTATTTGAGTCTAGATCTTCTCTGGCTCACTTTTTCCAGGGAATGAACTTCTAGACTCTTGCTGTGGGAAAGGAGGGTCTGGAAGGTGGGGGGAGGGAAGGTCTCTTGCTCCTGTTTGAGACTCCCACCATTCTCCCTCTTTTCACCTGATACCTCTCCCCACCTTTCACAGAACACAGTGCCCCCCAGCGGTGCCAGACCCCTCAGGACTCGGCCGGCTCCTCAAGTGTCTCACTGCAAGCTCTCAGGTCAGCTCCCTCCACTCACTTAAGCCGTTTACCTCCCATACATCTTTCAAAGGCTGCACATTTTTTGTCCATAATTTTCTCCTCTTTTGTTCTTTACTCCTTTACTGTCATGTTAGGGCTTTAGGAGGGAGTATCAATTAAGGCATGTTTCAAGCCACCATATTTAACTGGAAGTATGTTGGCATTCTTTATAACTTCGGATTATATTTTGATTCTTTAGGTCTGCCTTTCCACAGAAAGTCAGAAAATAGAAATTCTGACTTTTTCAGCTACACCCAGTTCTTTCTACAAAGAGTAAACATGAAGGTAAGGATTTTTGTTGTTAATTTAAAATGTTGCCTGTTACATAATATTCATTTTGTGTCATGTAAGTGAAATTATGTTCTATTGAAGAAAGAAATGTATATGGTTATTGCTGCTTTTTCAAATTATCCAGGAGCATCTATCCTACTCTCAGATGTCCTTGCTTCTAAGTTACTCAGATCTTTGCAGTTCTTTGTGAAGGATTTTGGTATCAGATCTTCCGAGTAATAATAGCTAACATTCATATATGTGCCAGGCACTCTTCTGTGCCCTCATCTAACCCGTACAACAACCATATGAAGTTGGTATCATTATTTGTCTCTCTCTTTGGAACACAAAACTGAAGCACAGAGAGTAATATGTCCAAATTCACATGGCTAGTGTCTCAAGAGTCCTTGCTCTTCACCACTATGCCATGCTCTGTTGCAAAATCTTTTTCTTCTATCTGATGAAACTTCTAAAGATTTTCCCACCTACTTCCCCAGAGGAAACTTACAATATGAAAACACCTAGAGAGAGAGTTTAACACACACACACATGCACACACACAGCCAATTAAAAGAAGCTGTGTAGACCGGAAGTCTGAGATGAGCTGGTTTTTCCACTGGAGCACTAAATTTGGCTCTGATTTACTGTCAACTAATTTTAAAAAGTGAAATGTTAGATTATACGGTTCTCATTGTTTTGTAGAGCAAGCATGCACATTATTTTTCAGAGAAAAAAGTTTTTGGCAACTGAATTCTAGAAGCAATTTCTACAATGCTAATGAAAGAACTCTAGGGTTTTTAAAAAGCTTTTTATTGGAAATGTAATACATAATCAGAAAAAAACATAAACACACAGCTTAGTGAATTATTATAAAGCGAACCCCCATCTCACCACTACCCTGGTCAGGAAAGAAAAGCTTAGCCCCACAGAAGCCCTCTGTATGCTCCTTTCTGGTCATGAAGCTCTGGTCTCCCCAAACGTACCATTATCATGACTTTCGTGCCAATCATCTTTTTTTTTCTTTCTGTTAGTTTTACCACCTAAATAATATCCTAAACACTATAGTTTAGTTTTGCGTATTTTTTAAAAACTTTGACTGGAATCATGTATATCTATTTTTGCTTTTTCTCGACTTTATGTCAGTGAAATTCATCCAGATTATTTTGTGTAGCTGTATTCATTTTTATTCTATAGTACTCCATTGTCTGACTATACCACATTTTAGGGATATACCACAATTGTCCGTTCATCAGCTGATAGACCCTTGGGTTGTTTAGTTTTGGGCTATTAGGAAGAATGCTGCCTTAAGCATTCTTGCATATGTCTTCTGATTCAAGGATACACACATTTCAACTGGGTCATTGGGTGACCATATTTTCTTTATGTCTCTTCCCATCATGTTCCATCTATACATGTCTATATCCAAATTTCCCCACTTCATAAACATACCAGTCATAGTGGAATATGGCCTGCCCTAATGACCTTATTTTAACTTGATTAACTCTGTAAAGACCCTATCTCCAAAAAAGGACACATACTGAGGGTCAGGACTTCAACATATGAACTTTTTGAGGGAAACAACCAAGTTGGTCATACTAAAACAAGGAACAATTCTAGAAAGAGGACAGTTTGTGCATAGGCCCTAAGGTAGGAGACAGATTATACACAATGCTAGAGCTCAGTAAGCCATGAGGCTGATAGGAAGGGCCAAATCACATTCAGCCTTATAGTCCGTAGGAAGGAGATTTGGGATTTTATTCTAAGTGCAATGGAAAGTAACCAGAGGGTCTTATGCAGTGGAGAGACATGATCTCACCACTTCTGAGTGGAGGATTAGCTGGAAGGAGACAAGAGTGGCAGTGAAACATCAGTTAGGAGGCTACTGCAGTACCCTACTTGAGAGATGAATGTGGTCTGGACCAGTGTAGGGGTTAGGGACAGAGAAAGCAGTGGATGTATGCCAGATGTAAAATGGAGTTAGGGTTGACAGGACTCATTGGATACGGAGGATGAGGGTGAGAAGGGCAGCAAGGATAACTTCCAGGTTCTGAATTCCAGAACTGGATTAAAAAAAAAAAAAGAAGAAGAAGGAAGAAAGAAAGAAAGAAAAGATAAAACTGAGAAGGATTGGATCCAGGTTTTAATAGAATAGGAGTCAAGGGAACCATTTTGGACATGTTATGCTTGAAATTGCAGGAAGCATCCTAATGAAGAGATCACAGGGCAGTTGCATACATACAGATCCAGTGTTCTGAGAAGAGGTACAGGCCAGATAAAATTGGGAATCATTATGATACAAATGTCATTTAGAACCATGGGGAAAGGTAAGACTAAGAAGATTGAGAAAAGGGTTATGAAGAAAGTCTAGAAATATTGCTTACATATAGTGCAGTGAAAGAATTGCTGGAGTCGGGGAGATAACATTCTACGTGTTACCTTCTGATGATTCACCTTAATGCAATACCAAAGCTTAGATAACATCAGAGAAACTCGTAACTGAAATGTAAAAGCCTTTCAGCAAGTTCTGGGTCACAGGGAATTTATTGTTGCATCTTCTGATGGTTGTTGGAAGAGTTAACCTTCTGTTTCAAAAACTTGGCCCTGACCCACACACTTGCCGGGGTAGGCCATCCTATTTCTGACAAGAGGTGGGTCACAAAGTGGCCTGTAGATAAGACCAGAGAATTTTTAAATTGAGATTTGAGCCACTGGAACACTTGAACTTTTACTTAAAGAAGATTCCAGAGGTTTGGGTCTTTAAGCATGAAAAAGATCATTTTGGCCTAAAACATTTATAGGATGTTTTTGCCAACTGGACTACTTCCACCATAGAGCCATAGTGTGGCTTTTGCATAATGTAATTTTGAATAAGATTATATTGCAAAATGCCCACGTTGGCTACTTTCCCTCATCTCACTCCTCTCCCAAGTCAATAATGTGAATTTACTGTTCTAGCATAGAGAGATATTTACACACTGTAGAATATCTGCAAAATAATTCAGAGTAGTGCTTCTTATTCTAAATCTTTCATTAAGCAGTTTTAGGAATAACTGTGATTGATTCCTGCAAGACTTCCTTTTCTTTCCATTGGAAAATGGTTACAAACAAGCTAAGGTTTCTTTGAAGTTTGCCAATCTGTCATCTTCAATTACACAAAACATCTGTTGGTGGAGGAAGTTCAGTGCCCTTGAGGATGAGTAACTTTTTAATTGTTCTTGGTGGTAAACTATTCCGATAGAAACTGGCCAGTGGCTTTAGTTGCTTAAGGCTTTTCCTCAAAAACCATTATCATCATACTCATAGACCTGCTATAACTTGATAAAAGGACTTTTAAATATTTCAGTATAAAAGGCCTCCAGATAACCACAGAGATAGACTAAGACATTTATTCAGGGTTGAAACGATCCAAACTGGCTGCAGTCACCGGGAATTTTCTAGCTCTAGAAGCACATGAATACAGATAAGTTGCTGAGGCCAAGAGAACACCCCAGCATCTGCAACTCTCAGACGTCACTGGAAGTGAGACAAATAATGGTCTAGGAGTTTTTATGTGGGGATATAGATGTCCCTATGACTCTCCTTGCAGGAAATATGTTCTGGGGAACAAAGTTCTTAAAGCCACAGAGCATAATAGCACTATGTTACACCTAAAGCACTTCAAAGGAATCTGCTATATCACTCATTCATGTCTTAAAATAAGTTGCCTCTGAAGAGATTTGAACTTAATAGCTTTTTTTGGACTGACTTTATTTGAATATTATTTGAAGTCACATCTAGATGTCTTTGAAACTCTGTTTTTATTCTTCTTGAAAATGTTTAGTGGTCAAGTGTTTCTCTAGCACATCTCAACACAGGAGACTCAGGCCTAGTTTTAGCCTAGAATGAAGTGCTCTTCTCCAGACCATCTGAAGTGAACGCTGAGCACCACTTGCATCTTAGAGGGTTAGGGTTAAGAGGAAGTTGAAGATGCTGTGGGAGACAATTGGGCAGGGCAGTGTTTAAAGCAAAGGCTGCCAAACCAGTAGTCACCCCAGACACGTTTAATATCTAACCCTTTTCTTGTGCCTCATATGAATTGTGAAGATTAAATCAGATTCTGTGATTCTTCCTTTCATGTCTTGTTTTCCTTTCAATGTTCTGATTAAGAATGTTGACACACAAGAAAGGCCAGACACCTACTGCCTATGTGCTTTCCAAATGAACATACCTGATGGAATTTAGATTATGATGAGATAAGAACAGCATTTTAGAAACATGTTCAGGTGGAAAGGCATGAGCTGAGCATGAAAATGTAGATACTAGAGGTAGACTTAGGAGACCAAAGTTGGCCCACAGAAAGCCTTGTGGCATTGGTGCACGATTTCCTTAACCAGCAATGGAGCCAGGAAGCCCAGGACTCTACAGCAAGGCCTGGCCATTGGAATTGGTGACAGGGAAGAAAGATGCTTAACGGCGTGAGTATATGAAGTCCTCCACAGCAACAGGAAGAGCAGGTAGAAGAGGCAGGAATGAGGGGAAGTAGGAAGTGACTGTGGTTAGAGGATGGACCCGCTTGAACTCTGCAGAAGAATTAACGGGTCAGCAGTCTGTTAGAGGTTAAGCTGACAAATAATAGTTGAGTTTAGAGAATGGCGAGAGCACAAAACTGGTGAGCTCTTGTGAACAAGCAAG